AAGTGTGTATTTGCCTGCAACTGGGGACCCCCTATTGTTCCTCTTTTGTTTGTACTTTAACTTTTTTAGAAGACCACCCATTTTGAACACAGTTGTCAATCGGCGACCCTCTGTCAATCGGGGACCTTATTGTCCTCTATCGTTCAGGGTCCCCGATTGAATGCAGAAACAAACTCACACACACACACTTTAATCGGGGAGTGTTGGCATCCATACATGGCACAGTTGTAGCTCATCACAAAACAACTCTCGGTGACCTTTAGGCTCACTTTTCCAGTTCGCATACAGAACCTTTTTTCGCAACTTGTAAAGAGAGAACAGTGTTGTAGTTGAGTTTACCACCAGTCCCTGCAAGTTCAGCACAAGCCATCCAGTCTTAAGCAATTAAAGTGGCAAGTTACTCAAATGAACACCACCCTGTTACTTATTACTGGTCTAATGAAAGGGTTTATGACTGAGCATGTGAAAGGACTGAAAATGGACTCGACCGCAACACCGTTGGGGTACCTGAAGAGCAAGCCTGGGTAAACTTTCATTCTGATTCTCTCTATCCGGACTGAAGGAAACTACGGTCAACGTAAGCCCCCGTGGTTCTGCTTCATGCCGTCTTACTGGTGTGGTCACCCAGTGGGGAGTTTGGTGGACAGTCTCAGCGATCTGGAGTCACGGGAGCTTAACTGCCAAGATGATGTGGAGCTGGTCTCCCCAGAGATGAGGGCAAAAGCTGCCATAAGGTACTGTAACCCTGCCCCCCCAAAAAAAACCCTCTAATAAAGATATTGAGTGAAATAAAACCTCCTCCAACTGTTTAAAAAGAGCTAGTTCTGTATTCGGACAGCAAAAGCTGAAGATGAAGTTTGCTGTAGGTCATTTGAGAACACCTGTCTGTGGGCACAAAGTGGGCCCATAGTTATATGCCAACTAACCTGCAAAAACCACATTCGAACTGGCATGATGTCAAATGCTTCATTCTTAAATAATCTTGCCTAACTGACTCATCGTCAGGGCAACAAAACACATATCTGCAAGAGTCAGGCTGAAGAAAGGAATTTTCTGGGTCATTCTCTTTCAAACTTTCAAAAGTGTCGCTGTTGTGTTGATGACACGTTTCATCTGGGAAATTCAAGTCAAAAGTGATGCGCAGATGAAAATTACACCAGATTGTTCTTTTCTGAAAACCCTAAGCAAAAAAAAAGTTTGAAAAGACTCCTCAAATGACATCAGTGCGGCTGAAGCCATTCCTGCTTGATCCACTACCTTGTTGCCAGCTCACTTGGCATTCATGTAATGTTTGTCAAATTGTACATGTATATTCTTTGAATTGCAGGATTCGCAGTTTGTCCAAGACATTCAAAGGTGGGATAGGAAAAAAGAAACCGGACATTCTTGCTGTCCGAGGTAAAACTATCATTCAGATTAACTCTAGAATATGCCATTAAAAAGATGCATAAGTACAAACTAATACCATACTTCAACACTCCAGAATCAATGTTACTGTTAATTTGACCTTTTTTCTGAAACCTGCCTTAATAACTGATGAGAATGAAAATGTCAACCTTCTTGTGTCATGAAAGGAATGAGCCTGGACATCTACGAGGGCCAGATCACCTGCCTCCTGGGCCACAACGGGGCCGGTAAGACTACCCTGATCAACACCCTTACTGGCCTGATAACGGCTGATAGCGGCCAGGCTACCATCTATGGCTACAGCATCCGGGATCCCATCCAGATGCAGAAGATCAGGTGCATGATGGGCGTGTGCTCCCAGGACAACACACTGTTCGATGACTTGTCGCCGCAGGAACACCTCAAGGTGTATGCCGGACTGAAGGGGGTTCTTTCAGAAGAAATTGATGCACAGGTGAGAAATGCTTGCCCGCTGACACCTGTCTTTCACTCTTGAAAAAGATGCCCCATTAATTAAGTTGATAGCTGAGCTTGCTGGCAATTTGCTCATGTTTTGTTTTTCCTTTTTCTCTGTCTCACCAGGTGGAGAAGATCTTGAAACTTACCATGCTTGATGAGGCATCCTGCACCAAGTCCAAGGATCTCAGCGGTGGTCAGAAGCGCAAACTCTGTGTTGGAATTGCCCTCATCGGTGACCCCAAGGTGAGTGAAGACCAAACGAAAAGCCAGAATTTCCACTGACAGCAGATAATTTGTGTCCTGTTTGAGAATAATAAATGAAAGCATTGCTGTTGATATGGAGGGTAAATTCCTTAATGTGACAACTTGTCCCACCAAATGATTGTAACTCGTAGCCACCCATTTGTGACATCTGCCTACCACGTTTCTGTCAAGTTCAGCAGTGCACAGAGGCCCAATCTATTGCATCCACTTGTCTATTGTGACCACCTGTCCAATTGTGGCAATCTCATCCATTGCAACCACCATCCGTTGTGGCCACCTGTTCTTGATGGCCAACTTGTCCATTGTGGCTGCATCAGCTGTCCATTGCCACCCCCGTCGGTCATGACTATCACTGTTACTATACATCCAGTAATGTTCGTGGTGAACATTTTAATAGAAATGTCCGTTATCTCAGATTCTGTTTCTGGATGAGCCAAGTAGCGGCATGGACCCGTACTCTCGCCGGCAGCTGTGGAATCTCTTGAAGAGCCAGCGACAGGGGAGGATCATGGTCCTCACTACGCACTTCATGGACGAGGCAGACATCTTGGCAGGTCAGAGGTCAATTTGACTTCTACGTTTATTTGATTTATTGATTATCATGATTAGATGCCAAATTGGATAGATTTTTATTGGATATTTGAATGATGCTGTTTTTGTCTTAATTTGTAGACCGCAAAGCCATGATGTCACAGGGACGTCTCCGTTGCTATGGCTCCTCCCTCTTCCTGAAAAATCGTTTTGGCATAGGATATCATCTTGGGTAAATGTTTCCCACCAACATTGCTCCCCCCCCGTCCCCCACCCCCAATCCTTCAATTTTCTTGTCTGTCTGGTTCAAAGTAAGGTTCTGAATTGTGAATGAGAGTCTACTCCAAGCCAAAAGGGCTCCTGAGTCCATTGTTCCACTTCGGTTTTCTTTATCATGAAGTAGCTGTGAACATTTTGCTCCACTCCAGATGGGATGCCAGCTCATCACAGATTGTCATCCCCAGTATGGGGACCTGGTGTCCTCCTGTGTGAGGAGAGATAAACATGGGTAAAAGGGCTTGTTTAAAGGCACATCACATGGCTAGTGACTCCTGATCATGGTTTGTTAGCCCTGACCACTGGGATGCACTGGTGGAGTTCGTAGTTGTTTTGCATGAACAATTCTCATGGCTGGTTTTTCAATGCTTTATTTCTTCAGCATGGTCGTAAAGAAGAGCACTCAAGTTGACCAAATCACTGAGTTGATGAAAACTCATGTCCCTCATTGTGAAGTCTCCCGTAGTCATGGAATGGAACTGGCCTATACCCTACCGCTGCAAGACTCAAACAAGTTTCCAGGTACAAAAATAAAATTGTTTGTAGTGACATCTTTTTCTTTTTGTGTTGAATAATAACAAAATAATTCTTTAACTTGTGTGAGCTCTGCTTATTGTATAAATGTGTTTGTATGGTGACTAATCAGAATCCTAAAAAGTTCGGTGATGGGTGAATCACAAATCAGGCCAAATTGAGATTAAACACCCTGATATTTTTTGCCAATCTATGATGGACAGCTCTCTTCCAAGCCTTGGAGGCAACAAGCGGGATGCAAGGCAGCACGGTCGCCAAGCAACTAGGCATCAAGTCTTACGGGGTCTCCATGACATCCCTGGAGGAGGTCTTCTTGAACATCAGTGAGGAGAGTGAGGATAACGAGCCATTTGAGGAAACTAATCCCGTCCAGACTTCAGGTATAGAGGGTTTACATGGCTGCCATCTTGCAGGCCAATGCTTTTGTTCCACAGGTTATGCACAAAGGAGGCTTCTCTGTGGAACAAAAGAACTGCCCTGCATGATGGCATTTATCAATCTAACTTTTAGGAAAGAATCACTGTATTTTGCTTTTGGAAACTGAGCTTCAAATTGGAAAGAAATGTTACATTTGATCAAAATATCTCTCAAGTAAAAATATCTCTCAAACTTGACTAATCTGCAAATGATGTGATCGCATGAATCTAGTGAAGATGAAGTCATATTCAGAATTTTGATTCAATGTAGTATCTGATCAGAAATTGCTGGAATACTGTGTCCGATGTTTGAGACCATGGCCAAATTTCATGGCGTTGCTTACTACTACGTGATTTCACACTTACAGTGGCTCTGCGTATTTCATGGAAACCTTAAGCAGTAAGGACAGTCGAAGGCATGCTAACCTTAGAGGAAAAAATTGCTCAAACTTAGTGACATAACAATAGAAATCTCTGTGCTCACGCAACTGTTAGCACAACTATGCCAAGCGCTGCCATGAAATAATGCTTAAGATTAGCAAATTTTTCTGCTAAACTTAGCACGACTTTTCTGCTAACTGTTAAGCAGCTTTGTGAAATCGGGCCCATATCTTTCAGGCCAAAGTTTCTAAGACTGTTGAACTTTGACCTCTTGCCCCCCCCCAGATATCTCGCCAATCAACACGGGAGCTGCCAAGACCTACAGGGCCATTGATGACCAGGCCATGTCGCTAAGTGTGGAGCATTGCATCACCCAACCCCTGCAGCCCAGTGGGTACCAGGTCCGGGCACTTTGCAAGCTGGAGTTTCTTCAGATGCTGCGCAACCCTGGCGTGAGTTGAACTAATAAGCTCCGTGAAGAGCTGCTGTGGAGGCCGGTTGACACTCCAGGAAACTGCAAAAGCAAAGCAAACCATCTGCGTAGAAATTCGCCTGCATTGAAATCTGTGTCCTTTGTGCAAATATTTTTGATCTTACGTCTAAACTTCACGTTCATCTTCACATTTGCACCAAGTATGAAATGGTTTCATTCTCCTAAACATATCGCTTATCTGTTGGGAAACAGTAGTACAATTCTCGGGTTCACCACGAAGTGACGCACCGTCCATAGACGCTGTACACACGATATGTCACTTTGTGGTGAAACCGATGAGTTGATCCAAAACTGTGTTTCGCATTAGAAAAGTTTTCCACCTTGAAACACCCATATCTCCAAATCACTTAAGGTACACTCACTCAACAAAAAGAGATTTCACCTGTTGCTTTAGCTACGCCACAAATGCCAGATTTTCTTTTGCATTTAAAAGTCTCTGTTTGGTCAGTGAAAGAGATCTGACTGAAGTAGGACTTTCAATATGTGACCTCAGAACTTGGATGAGTCCTTTTTGGGCCATAGCATACTTTTTGTCTGTTTGAGTTTGTGGTCACCTCATTTATCACTTTACATCTACATTCAGCATTCGCATCTTGACATAAATAGAAAAAAGCCCTTTCTGGCTTGTTATAGTTGAGCTCTGAAGACAAATGACACTGCGTTCAATTTGGATGCTTCCATATTTATTTGAACAGATAAAAATCAGAGAAAACATGTTTTCCTTAGAGGTGCTCTGTAAATACCGTTTGGAAAGATTATAGGTTTTGTTTTTGTCCTCCCTGCCTTGCAGACTTACATCTTTCGTCTCCTGTTTCCGATTGTCCTCCTGGTTGTCTTGGCCGTCGTGATCGCTAGAGTGAACGTAGGCAGAACTGACAGTGACTTACCCTCATTGACCCTCGACCCCAAGCTGTACCTGGAGACATCGACGCCGTCAACTCTGCCAGGCCTGACCCCACTGCTGTACCAGGACAACTTGACCAGTGGGCAGGGTAAGACAGAAATTCAGCCAGTTCACATCGGAATGCACGGAAACCAGCAATGATCGTCTTCTACATTTTCAGAGAGATCGTGGTAACATGTTCAGACACTACTCATAACCTGTTTTTACTGAACACATACAGTACGCTGCCAGTTAAAGTCAGCATTGTGAATGGGGATGGGAGAACTGTGGAAAGAATTCATGCCCACATTCACATGTGCGTTTCAAAATGTGTCAATGTTTTTCCAAGCAGTGAGTAAAGTTGTGAAAATGTTTTCCCACTAGTGTGAAGGGTGTCAAGCCTCTCCCACTATGAGTTTTTCACAGTTTGTGTCATGATAGTGAATTCTCCGGGAAGAGAAAAATGTGTGAAGAGAAATGCCCAATGCCAGGTTAAATGTATTTGCAATTCTCTGCTGAGTAAATTTCTCTGCTTTGCGTATTTGTGTCCATTCAGTTGAAAATTCAGTGTTTTTGTCAGTTGGCCACGTAGCCCCCTTCTAGAGTGCATGCTGATGGGCTCTCTTCATAAGGGTTCATCCTGATTTTTGTCTTTTTCACGAGCGTACAATATGTACACTAGAAGGAATCAATTGTGAGTTTGGGAAAAGGTCAATAGACCATTATGCTTTTCCTGCGCACAGCTTCGGAGGGGGAGCAGTCATAGGAAAGGGTATGTTTTATACGCTTGATAAAAGTGCATGGATGACCTTTGAGGAGAATGTCCAGTTATACAGATGTCTCTCCCACAGATATCAAATTACTCGTGAAGGAGTTTGACCGTGTAGGGCTGACCACTGATGCCATAGCTAACATGAGTAAAGTGTGGTCTGAAGCTCCACACAGCTTGGCCACTGTGGCTACAGACTTGGGCACAATGGTAAGACCACAACAAGTTATCAGCTCTTACACCTTTCAGGGTGCTGCTTTACATGAACTTTCAAGTTTTTGTTTATCCTATAAAAAATTGCCTTTAAGGAATCCTTTTTCTAGAAACTTAGGTTTTCAGTAAAATTTGTTCACATAATTATGTTTTGGTGCTTGATCTTTCTTTTTTTGGGGGGGGGGTGTTTGAGATTTCTGGTAATGGCACCAAGGATTACTTAAGATAGCTTGGCTTGAAACCTGTAGAAATTTTACAGTGAAGGAATATAACTCTTTTCAAGGAGGTAGAGAAATGTGTATAAATTACTTCAAAATTGCCTTCACCCCATCCAAAACCTGGCGTGTGATACTTGTTACATTCATTTTCCCCAGTCAGCTTTGGCATCTCCTGGCATCGCAATAACAAATGAAAATGCTCTGGCTTGATTCCAGCCTGTTGCTGTGGCTGTCTTGAGTCTTTGGCCGTGTCTGAAATGGCCTTCCAGAGCTACGGCTAGGTCTAATGTCTACGCATCCCCGCACATTTCCAATGGAGGGAAGACCTAGACCTAGCCCTAGGCAACAGATTCAGATGCAGCCTCAGTATGCATCAAAGTTCTTGAGCCCATGTACATGGGACCCTCTATTCTTAAACCAGGCTGTTGAGTCGTGGGCTATATGGAAAATGACACCAATAAAGACGTGAACAATGCAAATGAAACAATTCTTTTGTCTGTAACCACCAAAACTTTCTACAGACAATCTGTTTTTTACTTTGATTTCTTTGAATACTGCGATTGATAAGAGGATTGAGTTGTCAAACGTTCAAGTTTAATACTTTCTTTAGCCACAGTATATTGGTTGACACATTTTCACTGGGTTGCCACTGACTTTCTGAAGCCCCGCTTTCCCCCCCCCCAGAGCAATGCGCCAGAGTTCCTGGCTCTCTACAACAGCACTGCCCAGCACTCCATCCCAGTCATCCTGGGCCTCCTGAGCAATGCCCTTGCCCATCTGCAGGCCCCCAGCAAGAACTTTCCAGACGTGGTAGTGGCCAGCCAGCCTTTTGCCCGTGAGGTCAAAGGGCCAACCATCACCAACATTGGCATTGACATCCTCGGGGTCTTTCTCTTTGGTCTTGCTGTCAGCCTGCTTCCCGTGGGGTTTATCTCCCAAGTTGTAAAAGAGCGACAGGTGCGTGAGTGAGCAAACCGGTACATGTACCCTGCCAGTGGCCCGGCTTTTCCGTTGAAAAGCCATATCGTGCTCAGGCAAAGCAGGGGACCTTTAGGCTTTTTTGATCTCTTTCTTTGGACAATAGGCTCTTCTCTACGGGCCTTTGTTCTGTCCTGGGCCATTGTTCCCACTGAGATAAGAGCTCCAGTTTAAGCTTTGATTGTTTCAAAGATTTTTACGTGTACTTCCCAGTTTTGAAAAAAAAGAACTTGAGGTGTATTTGTAATTGAGGTCACAGGGCCACTAGGTGACTGTAGCAAGTAGATATCTGTACAACCATTGCTCTGTCTGTGGGTTGGTCCAACCGTAGATGAACAGGAATTAATTCTGGCCAGGCCATCTGGGGACACACTTGATTGATTAGTAACATCAATGCAAGGTAGCAGGGGGCTAACAAAAGGAAAATTACAGACCTCAAGGTCCAGGCCAGAGTTGTAATGAGTCACTGATTTTTGTGACTCGAGTCGAGTCATTTTACAGCAGAGACTCGAGTCCAGTCACCCAAAAATGCGACTTGAGTCGGACTCAAGTCGAGTCATTGACTTGAGTCATTACAACTCTGGCCCAGGCATAAACCAAGGCCATAACTCCAGTTCCAATTTCCTCACTAAAAGTAGAGATTGATTTCTTAGAGCAGCTGAGCATCACAGTTTAAAGCATAGAAGATAGTTGCTTTGAACAAAAGCTGGCTACCAGCCCAATACATCATGCATGGCACACTCAATTACGACTGGTCCCCAGCCGATTTTTGCTTAGCGCATATATTTGTCAAGCAATATTTCCCGCTTACCTTTTCCATCACTTGCAATGTAGTTGTATGTCTTCATTTATTTATTTGGGTGCTTCTTTAAGGTTATATCGCAAAAGCAAGGTTTATTCTGCCGTAAAACCTTTTCTCGAAAAGCAAATGCCAAAGACCAAAAGGGGCTTAGATATCTAAGATATTCTATGGGTTTTTTAGATTAGTTGACATCTACCTCATTTAGTTTGTGAGGGGGTCACAAATGACAAGACTCACAGAGTTGAATCCAGAAATTTCCATGACGCATCTGCCCACCAGGAAAAGATACGCACCCAGCTGCGCGTGTCGGGTATCAAGGCGACCCATTACTGGGCCTCCCATCTCCTCATCGACGGGGCTCAGCAGTACCTGATCGCCGTTGTGGGTATCGTCATCTGCATGGCTGCAGGTTTGTCCATAGGTGGCTCTTCTCTGTCGACCACGGGGAGCATTTTCATTCTGGTCATCTTCACAGTCATCTATGTCCCATTGGATGTCCTCTTTGCCTACTGTGTCAGCTTCCTCTTCAAGGTGTACAAGACAAGCCAGTCAGTTGCTCAGATTTTTTACATCTATGTAAGTTGATGCTCGTCAGCCCTTGGGTCGGGATGAGTGCATGAACCATTGAGGGCTTACTCGCAAGATGCAATGCCTGATTGGTGCTTTGAAACATTGTGGAAAGCGCATTATAAATGTTGTAAGTTATAGTTATGCAATAGACCTCTATCTTACGGCAGCCATCTTGCTTTTCTTCCCCGCAGAGCAATGTAACTAAGGTGAGGCTAGAAGGAAAAATAGTCTTCCCTTTTTTAGTGCGTGAAGTTGTATTGCTAATGTCAGTGGTTGTACAGGGCACAAGAAAAACATGGCAGTGTCATGACACAGGTCCAGTGAGAACATTTCCTTGATGCTGAAGGTCTGTCCGAAAGATGTGGCAGCAGCAGGAAATCAAACGTGTCCCTGGAAACCATTTGCTCGAAAGTGTTGTCATCACTGCCCATAGACACATTGCCCAATCCTGGCTTGGGCTAGGTATGACCTAATATTACATGGGAACTAGTAGACAGCCTGTGTAGAGGGGGAAGCAGCATTGGGTTTCAAAATTGACCATAAAAGTACCCCTCCCCATGGGCATATTCGTTACATAATTCGTGCATGAAACAATTCGGTTTTGGGACTTTGCTATTTTCCAATCAATACACATCCCCTTACAAATCTTTGAAAAACTTCTTGTCAGTAATGTGCACTGTAAGTGACCTATGACCCTAAATGTGCAAAATCTAACAAGATGATAGATCAACCAGCATACAGCGCCCAAGAGAGTTATGAGTGAGGGGTGAATGTTTCTTGCTCTGGCAATTTTAGATTCTGTAACAGCCGACTTCATATGTTGCCATTTATCAATTCTGTCTTTTTCAAACATAACATTTTGGACAGGGCTGTCCTTTCAGTAATAATCAATTAACTGACAAATGTTCATTATATGTACCTAGTGCTAGAGGAGACTTTGATCAAAGAATTTTACTTTTTCTGAGTATTTCAATAGTAGATCATCTGCATTGATAATATCAGTTGTGTTAAATGAATTTTAGTTCCAACAGCATTTGAACTGGGAGACAAATTTCAGTTTTCGATGTGGCAAACAACATGCTTCTAGTGCATGATTAAAAAATGTGTTTGTTGAATCACACGTCGCAAGCTCGTAGTTCTGGGATACAAGCCCTCATCAATTAGTCCCTTGATTCAAATGTCTTTGGGGTTACATTTTGCAGTTTCCTATCCTGTTGGTGGTAGTCATCATAGTGCTGTCTGTCACCGAATCCAAAACTACTGCTGTGGTTTTACATTACTTATTTTGCGTCGTGTATCCTCCATATGCCATCTTTGGGGAGTTGCACTACATCAATCAGGTGAGACAAATAGTTCTTTCATGATAAGCCATTGGCAAAGGAGTGCATAGTATCCCCTATTCACATCTGATTTTATATTGATTGGCCTACCTTTGTAACTGACTATACATTGATCATAGATTGCCATAGAATTGTAAACAATAAACTATTAATTAATTATTGACTGCTGTGACCTGGCATATTTTGACATCTGAGGAACCCGTCATTAACTGACTCCACCGTTGAATTCATTTGTTCTTCATTTAATTCAAATTTAGGTCTATTTCAAGGCATCGTTCAGTGGAACTTTGGACCAGCCAAGCTTTAATGATTATATCAACTTGGACAACGTTGTGTTGCCCACCATAATCTGTGTGAGTAAAGAGAGAAACTAATCTCCCTCAGTTATATAACTTATTACCCGATGCCCCCAAGAAAACTCCCTTATCTTCTTCTAGTCACTGGACACAGTTTCACTATAGAGCTTAGCTGATCTCAAGAAAAATGTTGTTTCCACTTCATTATTTCCTTTTGGAATTGGTGAAAGTGTGAGCCACTGCTTAATTAATTCTGACAGTCCTCAGTCTTCCAAAGAATGAAAGGTTTAGAGCTAAAAGGGCTGGCAAATGTAATGTAGCACACACTGTACGCTGAATATTGTTCAGCAAAGATTTGCTAACTATCTGTGTGCTTACACACATTCATGGTTGCTATTTGGAGGTATACTTTCTTGTTGCAATCACATTAAAGCAGCCAAATGAGACTCTTTATCACTGAAATGTCATGAACGATTTCATCCCACTAAATTATTTGAAAGCTTGACAAATAGAAAACATGGGAAACCCTCACCCTGTGTTCGTAGTGGATAATTCCCTTGTGTATGCCAAACCATAGCTAAGGGTTTATCCACTATGAACACAGGGCTAGGTTCCCCTCTTTTTCTATGTTTTCTCGGAATAACGCAGTCTACATTCAGAATTTGCATCTTGGCATGAACCCCCAAAAAAACCTTTTAAGCTTGTTATAGTTGAGCTCTGAAGACAAACCACACTGCGTTTGATTTGGAGGCTTCCATATTTATTTAAACAGAAAATATGAGAAAACATGTTTTCCTCAGAGGTGCTCTTTAACCTTGTGTGCATGCCCATTGCTGTTGTCGAGAATTCCTATGAGATACTTCAGTTGCAGAATGTACTGTCTGAATATTGAACTTACTCACCGTTATTGCTTTCTCACAGATCCTAGCTGACCTTGTAGTAGTGACCTTTCTACTGTATATGCTGGAGATCTACTCCACGGGAGGTAATCTGTTGGAAGCATGGGGCTACAGGTGCAGTCTGAAACCCTTTCTGTCTTTGGCAAATTTCCACCGATTGTTCACGTCCTTCTCAAGGGGTTTCGTTTTTACACCTGCATGGAATTCTAATTGAGATGCTTCTTATGAGGTTTGGCTGTCGTGTCATAATGACAAGGGGAACCAAAATAAAGAAAGTTAGCATTTGTCACAAAAGAAATAAACATAACCTGTGCCTTCATACATCTAAATGTACGCACAGTCACGTATCACAAGTGGTGCTGATATGGGACTTCTCAATATGGGACTTTTTTATATACATATCCTATAATGAAACTTTTGACTGGAGTATTTTTTATACCACAAGTACTTCTTTGCAGGATTTGTGTTAATTGATGTCATGATGTATTAAAAAATAACCCCTTTTGGTTCGCTGCGTAAAGTTGGGGGGGGGGTGATCCTAGAGCACATCCCCAACTTGTCAGAGGAAATAGGTTTGACATAGCACCCTCCTTCAAGGTGGAATCTATGCATGTGTTTGCTAGACATAATTAACCGAGTTACACTATCAGTTATTCTTTTGACTGTAGGAAGAAGGCATCCGGGGGTCTGAACAGTGATATTAGCGATAACGAGGACAGTGATGTCAAAGAGGAAAGGGAAAAGGTTCAGGCCATCTTTGACCGAGGCCATTACTCTGAGGTCAGTGTCTTTGTTTCCTTCCTCCAAGTTGTGAAGTCCCGCGTGTTTCCTCCAAGTTGTGAAGTCCCGCGTGTTTCCTCCAAGTTGTGAAGTCCCGCGTGTTTCCACACCAGACCAGTGCAAACTGGAGCATGTGGAAATTGCAGTCGATTTTAAATGTGTGTCCAACATTCCAACAAATGTGTGCACAGGGCTTGAATTTCACGAGAGCCATGGCCCTCCCATTTGGCCTCGATGCCTTTAGTAAATCCACATTGAACGGGGCCAAAATGGCCTGCTTCTTTTCTGCCATGGCCTTGAATGCCCTCTTGGTGAACATCGTGGGTCGCCCTTAGGACTGACCTGAAACACAGATTGATGTTTCGCTGCTCGTCGTTTTTAGATGTTTTCCTACTTACGTTTGCAATTTTTTAAAAGAAACTTCCGTTATTTTCATGCATTTCCTTTGCATTTCGTTGTCGCAGTGGTAAAAACGTGGGCAAATCTCAATGCATTAAAGCAATGCTTCCCCAGTTCCCACCACGCCTCACCCATGCAAAAGAATGCGTGATGGAAATGTGCCAACCAGTCTAAACGTCCCTGTCGATTAAACTAACATTGGCCATACATGCATGCAACTCCATAGCTGCAGGTTGAAAAAAAATCAATGTTGTGAGAGGATTTCTTCCAGTTAAGTCATAAAACTTGGTCTCTTGTTCATGTGTATTTTCTGTGGTCACAAGATCAATTTTAGGTTGTTTTGCTCGTACTTGAAGCGAGCATGTTTCAATAAAGTTTCCTGCCACAGCATGAGGTTTATCACCCGCTTGTCTGGATGCGTCACGCACGCTTACCACGCGATACACAGACATTGTTGGCCAGTTTGCCATTGTGATTACCTGACTAGCATCAGTTGAATTGTCCATAATGCTTGTGAATTGTCGACTATAGAAATTTGTGCTTAGATTAAGACAGGTTTCTATCACTGTTTGAGATGATTTTTGGAAGCTTTCGTCCCCATTCATGTCATTCAACCAGAGCGAAAAATTGACCCCCACAAAGAAATTCCGAGGTACCACTAGTATCGACCCTATCTTTAAGAAGCATGTAATCGAAGGCAGAACTATTTTTTGCCTTAATTGTCATGACCATGGTCACAACTAAACTTCTTCATAGCTTTTCACCTTAACTATTTGTAAAAGGGATCGTGATAACTGGACCTTGGATCTGTCCAAAATACAGTCTGTCGGTCGGGGCAGAAATCCAACGTACACGTAGTTATTTATTACAAAATCATCAGTAATAAGACTATTTAGAGTTCATTGCTGCCAACAAACTTTATACAAAACTTGGTTCATAGTGCACAGTGTTTAATTTGTAATTTCTAATTTGTAGCTTATAATTTGTTTTTCCTTTTCATGCTTTGCTTAGCAAATATAACAAAATAAAGCACATCCCACTGTGAAAGTGCTTGCATGAAAATGCTGACCCAGTAACTTTTTTTGTGGTGTACACATGTGTAAGATGAGAACCGCATTACCGTAATCAGTAAGTCATTTCCCAATGAATACGTGTACATAAGTGAATGTAACTGGGTATTATACTCTATCCACTCCAGTAATTAGAATGAATGAGTAAATTTTCAACATGTGATTGGTATACCTAGTTATGCTGATGAACACTTGTGTATTTTTTGCCCCAACTTGGTACATGTAGAATGACCCATATCTCCACTTGCTAATTCATTTCACAGTTGAACAAACACCTCACAGACTCTGCATAATCTAACACTATGCAAAGAAGAACTTTATAAGACTGAAGGTTTTCATGGTGAGAGAACTATATGAGTAAAACGCATGCGGTTACACCATGGATCAATCTCTTTCTTGAGTGTGAGTTATTCCCCGGTTCTTCTCAGAACCACACATACTCAAGAAAGAGATTGATCCATGGTGTCACTGCAATCGTTTTACTCATAAGACTGCATTACTATCTGTAAATAGCAAAGATGGCCTTGGTGCCCAAAATATTATTCACATGATGGCCTCATTGGCTTCAGTGCCCCTTATTTTGACCAGCCCATTGGTTCCATTTGACAACAACATTCAAGGCCTGTATGTAGTATTGTGTTATTGTCGTCGTATGGCTGGAACACCTGCAGCTGATTTCACAAAACTTTGAGCAACCTCGCATCATGCATAAGCCTTATGCCTTCAATCTGCACTTGTTAATTTCATGAAGAAAGGTTGAAGCTTATCTTACTGCAAAACAAGTTTATTATTATTAAAAAAAAAACCAACAAGTTATGCATTTTCTTGTGTAAACTGACTAAGTTCAGCAATGATGGGTCTTAATATGTACAAGATTAGATTAAACAGTTTTGTCATCCGTATCCAATTTCTTCTGCACAACGTACACCACCTAAAATGCTTGAGAAAGTTACTACACAAATTTGTTGCTCAAGTTGTGAACTTGCATCATAATTTGTTGCGCAAGATAAGCAGAGAAATGTGGTAGATTGAAGTGTCATTGTGTAAAGTTTCATGAAATGAGGTACTGTAGTCTGGGTCCTGAAATTCAGAAGAGAGCATAAAGCGACATCAAGCCGATGTCGGAGATTTAAGAGCTGTTGTAGTGGGCAAAAGTTTTGAAGGTCCTTTTTTGGTCCCGTTTTACATTGCCCAGAAATGCGTTGTCGCAGCTGCTGGTATTCGCAAAGAGTACGAAATGTCCAAGGGCTGCTGTTGCAAGACGTACACCAGCAAGTTGGCTGTCCGCAACCTGTCCCTGAGCGTGAACGAAGGGGAGGTGTTTGGCCTCCTGGGACCCAACGGAGCCGGTAAAACCACGTCCATGAACGTCATCACAGCGGATACCGGCGCTACCAAGGGACAGGTTTGTATCTGAGGTTTAGTCCCGGTGAACAATTCAGAAGGGGATAACCCCCAGCTAGAGGTGCATGTGGCCTAGTGGTCAAGGTTTGCGACTCAACCAGCAGGTCGGGGGGTTGGAATCTGTGTGCCAGCCACATTTTCTGGCCTCGGGCAAGTCATTTTGCCCTACTTGCTTCCCTCCGTCCAGGAGTTTCAATGAGCACCAACATTAGCTGGGGAGCAACATCCCATCCAGGGGGAAACAAACATATACTTGGTTGTATCATGCTAAGAAAAAAAGCAGATAAACACTAGGCTGTTGAGTAAGGTGGCTCGGTTCGGACATGCTTGTTTTTGTTTTTTGTTTTTTTTCTTGTAAATAAGGCTATTTAAATTAATGGAAAAATTGCCATGGAGTTTCAATTTTAAGTCCTGCCTGTTCTTCTAAATCCAGAATTTAATTCCTAACTTCACCAAAATCGTGATAAAATTGCACATTCTGCCTTCAGGGAAAATGGCTTAGGTCACATTGATGTAATGGCAGGCTTGTGTTTTACATCACTCAAAATACTGCAAGGCTTCAACTGTTTTGTGTATTTTTCTTCCCATCTTTGAGGGCAGTTTTAGCAGAGCAGGCCAGTGTGGCTGACTTTAGTTTTCATGGGAATGTCTCTGTGTACTCACTTGTCCCTTGTTTCACCTTGCACCATGTACACTGTGGTTCTCACTGTACCCCAGCAGTTGATAACCAGTTAACACTACTGCTGTTTGTGTTTTGCCCTTTTAAGATCCAGATCGTTGGCCATGACATCATATCATCCCTTAGTGAAGCCTTCCGCCTCATGGGTTATTGTCCCCAGCATGATCCACTGTACTCCAATGTGACCATGCAGGAACACCTTGAGGCCTATGGCTTGATCAAAGGCATTCATCCCAAAGACGTCAAAACCGTAGCCGAACAGTGAGTATACTCACATCTGCCATACTGAGGATGATATTAGGCCTACATGTATTTTGAAAATTCCATAGTGAGTCCCAAGATGCAGTGGGTTGACAGTAGACACAAGTTTGGTACACATGTTGTTTAATAGACCTTGGGCCATTTTTAATCTTGTTCCCCAAATCTGTCTTATAAATAGTAAACTGTTGATGTGGATAATATTTCATACTGTTATGTATGACGGCGCCCCCCTTTTAATATTTTTCAAAATTTGGCTTAAAACACGAAAGGCGTGTTTGATCACAAATTTGAAATTATTTATCAGAGTGGATAGGTACTAATTTATCATGAAATTTCATTTTAGTGCCTTCCCTTCTCCAGTCAATTTCCAAAACTGTAAAACTGAAAAGTTATATCTCGCTTTCAATTTCAATATGGCCGACTCATGAATAAAACTGTTTGCATACGGAGCCAGACTGTTCCAGTTGGAACAGACTTCAAGCAAAAATCTTTTCTTTTAGCAGTTTGGAGCAGAGAAGTTTCCGAAATCAAGCAGTCGAACACCATTAAGGACTATAGACAAAGATGGAATTGTCACTGCTCTTTTTTCTTCATATCTCAAGGGAAATTTGTCGGACTTATGTCCTGATCTTGAGTGACTTGTTCTTTTGCACTTTTCTGGTTAGTTTGGCATTGAAACAATTTTTTAATGTTTTTCTAAACTCTAGAACTATACATTGTAAGTTGCTCAGATGATTTTTATTTATTATGTGAATTTGGCAGCATAGTCGGTTCTCTATTCCCTCAAAAGATTTACTTTTTTTGGCCACTGAACAGACAGTGTTATGTAGTTTAATATCGCTGGCTGTTTGTATCTAACATTATTATACACACTTTTCATTAAGATGTGAAACTTGTAATGTTTATTCAGGTGATGCATTCAAATCATGTAATGATTTTCCTCTTAAAGTTTCATGGATGCCCTGAGGATCACCCAGCATGCGAACAAGAAGCCTCCTGAGCTGTCAGGGGGCACCAAGAGAAAGGTATTTAATTATGAGGAGAACAGTAGAAATGTGTCAAATTCTAAATTTTTCTGTTCCTTTTGGAGTGTCATCATATCTTTGGGAATGCCCTAGTTCCTTTTGGAATGCACCTGTTCCTTTCGGAATGCACCTGCTCCTTTTAGACCGCACCTGTTCCTTTGGAAATGAATATACCCATTCCATTTGGAGTGCACCTTGTAATGCACCTGTTCTACAGGTATTTCTGTTGTGGATTTGAAAGTGCTTTAAATATGAGCGATTATATTGCAGAAACAGGCCTAAATCCAGGCTTAAATGTTCATTAGACTGATCAGTATTTTTTCCTCACATTTCTGGGCAGTTGGATAAAGTTTAGTTACAGACGTGTATTTTGTCAAACCCTAATTACCTACATTGCTCAAAAATTTCTTATTGAATCGGTCATTGGAGACAATTGTATATAAGATATTCTGACTTCTCTTCTCCAACTTGTAGCTGTGTTTTGCCATCAGCATGCTGGGGAAGCCCAAAATTGTGTTCCTGGATGAGCCGTCAACTGGAATGGATCCAGCCTCCAAACGTTTTGTCTGGTGAGTCCTTAAAGGTACCAAATATTGGGGAAATATCATACTTCTAGTATACGACCGACCCTGCTTCAATTGGCAGAGGATGGAGTTCTGTTAGGAAGATAGGAGACCCAGTTGAGATGACCATCAATACAGGAAACTTGAGACACTTCCTTTGATTTCCGCCACAGAGCAAAATGTTTAGTTTTAATTTAACAGCAATACCAAATAATGAAAAACATTTATAGTCGAGCAAGTTAAAGCAATTAACGTTGAGCCATCTTTTGTTTATGAAAATTTTCGCTATTTTGATTTGTGGAGATCTTCCCTCATCCCAAAAAGGAAATTACTTTATACCTAGCTCATTTGGCGGCCCACCTCACATGTTTTGGTGACCACCTCAGGTGTTTCTGTTGAAGTTTTACCACCTTAGGATGTTTTAGGATGTCCTTTGGTTGTGCTTTGCAGGAACACCATCCTTGCCAGTTTCCGCAGTGAACGAGGCGCTGTCTTGACGACACATTACATGGAGGAAGCCGATGCTGTTTGCTCTAGGGTGGGCATCATGGTCTCTGGAAGATTGATGTAAGTTGCTTACTTGACCCAGCTCAACAGAAAGAATTGCAAGTCACCAGAGCCACTTTGAGCCATCATAGCTACTTTGAAGTCAAGGCCTGTGACTCATTAGAACAAACAGCTCAGTATGTTGTTTCCAATACAAACTAAACAAAATTTCTTAATGACCCTTCAGACTTATTTTGTGGGATATGGTCACATGTTAGATATGGCATTGTTCATAATTTATGTGGCATCAAATTTCAGGTCATGTTTTGCCCAGTTTTATTTCAGATGAACATATTTTCCTCCTTTTAAAACAAAGACCAGACCAATTTTCCAAGGTATAAGGAGGATGGGGTTGGGTGGTACTTTCTTGGGGGCAGTTAATTGGTCTGATAAAAGTATTTAACAATGTACGGCTGTCCTCCAATTTCTCAGCTGGTGAGAGGGATGCCTCCAGTTTGGGCTCTTCCTCCATCATGCCCCAGTTTAGCAAGGCCACACGCTTCATTTATTGTATCGTATTTCAACTTTCTCCATCTCTTGTCAGGTGCCTGGGTACGACCCAACACCTGAAGAGCAAGTACGGTGGGGGCTACTTGCTGGAGGCCAAACTCAACCCAGGCCAGGCTTACTACTCCATGGACCATGCCACGGATGAGGCAGATCGCCTCCTGGAACGGCTGGGGACAGCACTGCATGACAAGATCCAAGAGGTCTTCCCCTCCGCTGAACTGCTGGAGAGTTTCGGGGAGCGGGTGACTTACAAAATCCCAAGTCAAGACGTTCAGTCGCTGGCGACAGTCTTCGCTGCTTTGGAGGAAGGTGGGCAGATTAGTGTGTCTGTAGAGGGAGGCATGGAGAACATTAGCAAGGAGAGGGGGGGCCAATGTCTGTCTCTTTTTGTTTTTAAATAATTCTTTCAGTTGTATGAATACACAGATTAATTTTTCTTTGTTTTTTTTAAGGAAAAGAGACACTTCAAATTGAGGAATACAGCTTCAGCCAGGCCACTCTGGAACAGGTATAAAGCCGATTCTTGATATTTCAACCATTCCTTATCTCCAGTTGACAAATCTACAACCAGAATGTCAAGTATTCCTTCTCATTTGTTAACTCAAGAGAACTTATTTATCCAGCTGAAATGCGTACATCGTTTCATTTCTTAGGTCTTCCTGGAGTTTGCCAAGATGCAACGAGACGACGAGGAGAGTCAATCGGAGCAGCGGCATCAAGTGTCATGGAGAGCCAGACAACAGGACACCGTCGTAGTGGCATGAAGAGGACACTTCACTGGGGTTGTGGAAGGCCAAATGTGTCTCACTGTTGTCAAACTACTCCCGAGAGGGTGTCGGCGAAGGAGTAAAAGTCAAAACACTTCATTTTCAAACAAGGGAAAACATAGCAAGTTCTTCGTGGGATTAGAAAACTCCCTTGACGATTGATAACAAGATACATCTAAGCTATTTTCTTTCGCAATAGAAAGCTGTATTATTGCAAAAATTCTGGAGACTGGACACGTATACACATGTATAAATTGATTAAACTTTATTCTTTCAGTTGCTTGCAGTCACTGTAATGCCGAAGAAAAATGTTATCCCAGCAGTGTGAAATACAGAATGCTTGGAAATTATATAAGCCTCTTTGTAGTCCATGATTATTTTTTCAGTACCGTGCACAAATTTTAGGACGTTTAGGAAATAAATAGCTGGAACAGGTTTGTCCGCAATGTCGTGCGCTATATGATATCAACTATGCGCATGTGTTTTGTGTCGACAATTGTGTGCACTTCGCTGAATTAAAAAAAATGAACAACTGACAGTCATTGCCATTAATTAAATGCATCGTTAGAGATAGCCTTCTTTCGTATCGTAACTAGGATGCTGTTCAATCATTTCGTCAGTTTGTTTTGGATAACTGCCAATGATGGACTGTACATTCGAGAGTGACAAAAATTCCTTTGATGTCCATGGAGGATGCTAAAATCTCAATATATTAATTTTGTCCGATTTAAATTAGAATTCCAATTTGTTAAACTGATTTTTAAATTTGATTTAAGGTTACCAGACGTACGTGTATTTAGATGCCTTTTATCACTCTGTGAATGTTTTATGTATGGTTTTATGTGTAGTGTTTTAATGTGTATGTTTTCATTAAAGAACATAGACTGTTTTTGCCACAGACAAAAAAAATTGGAGTTGAAAGTGTTCAAATTGAATTTTCGTAGAGCACAGTGGTTAAGTGGTCCAACTCAAGGTGTTGCACTTGTGTCACGCATTAGGGTGCGACCCAAAGAAAAATTAAACGTGCTGACAGTCCCCCAGGCTCTCGAGACACTTTTCAAACGAGTTCTACTTGTGAGGATAGAGAACAGAATGCGTGTTTATGGGGAGCCATTATTTGCATTAAACTTATCTCATATCCCAGTGAATAATAACTGTCTTGCACCTTGAGACATTTGTATTTTCTGCTGTGAATTAATGTAAAAAATGGTTTTAGATGTTGGTAGATATTGTACAGTAGCGGCAGATTCAAGCAAAGCAGTGGCAGGGGTCGTCATTCTATTTCGTTATGAAATAAAATTAAGCATTCATCAAATTTTGATGGTATTGTGTATTTCAACATGTTGCATGCTTGAATGTTACTTCAATACAGCATGAATGCACAACATGCAGTTTAATCGATCGCTAAGTTTTCTGAAATTGTGTTTCACCTACATGTATTTGCTTCGGGAAGTATTGAAATAAAACCGCAGCCCACTTGTTCTGCGAAAACAACATTCTTTCCGGCGCAGTTTGGTATCATGCTATGTTTCAATTCCTAAATTCCCCTGCCCCCCTTCCCCACGTACGGGACATCACAGGATCTCCGCTGTAATATTCCATTCAGAATTTTCAAAATCGTGTACATGTTTATATGCAACATAACTTATATTTCACTCCCAAGGAAACGCAGATTTTCTTTTGTAGTGTCGTGACTTCTGACGGTACTCATAATACGGCCGGTTATGCGGTGAAAGCCAACCGCATGGGAAACGTGGATTTGCTTCATGTGGTGAGGCAGTACACACACATACGGTGTGTGGGATTTGGGACGATACAGACCGTCCTCACAAGGCTGGTTCGGGTGCGTTTTGCCCCACAGACACACTCTCGTAGGAAATGTGCACGCTAGCTCGAAAACAGCTTGCGTATTCCAACCCTATTGGAAACGCAAATGTGCTTGATGTAATGCGGCAATAATGGTGTATACGGTGCGTAGAATTTGAGCAGTTACAGAAGGTCCCCGTAGGGCTGGTTCAGGTGCGTTTTGTGCTGGAAACACACTCTCGTAGAAATTGTGCAGGCTCGCTTCGAAACAAGGTGTATATTGTTGCCTGGTGGAAAACGCCGATCAACCTGATGCAGTGAGGCGGAAAACATGGACATCGTATAGCGTAGCGACGCAATGCTGCAGGTGGAATTCAGGCTGTTTGAGAGGTCCACAAACAAAAGGGCCTGTGTACTGTGAAACTGTGTGTGTACGTGAATAGGCCATTCGCTGCATGTAGAAACTTGCACGAAAATGCAGCAAGGTTTTTTGGGTTGACCAACAAACAACGTGCATGAAATAATTACGCGGATTTTAAGAAGTATTGCCTAAATGTTGTAATTTATTGTAACGGTGCTATGACAACCATGGAGGAAGGAGGGACAACATGCTTGAGGTCTTTGCATCCTTTCTTGAATTTGTTGTACATAGTATGTACCAACCGACTTGAGCTGTCAGGTCAATTGGTCACTTATTTAGTTTTGTGTGGCACCTAATTTGCATACCAGTCGGTCTGACTCTTAGTAAATGACATTCCTAGAGCTATAAACCCTAACCCTCAATCCTTCACCTGTTGGAGGACTGAGGAGGGTTAGGGTTAATTTGGCTGGATCTGTTTAGCTGGGCCCTGCCTCTTGATTATGTAACGGCATACTTGAGCCCGAGAGGGTGTGTCGCCTTATAATGGCCGACTATTGATTCCTGCACCAACCACAATGGCATGAAGACCATTTTTTAGTCATTTCGTTTTGTTCCTGAATTTTAGGTTCGTTCGGGGGTTATAATTACACCCCACGGGTCGTCTTGTCGTCGGTTGCAACTCGTCTTTGGATTGTCTGGCTTTCTTTGTGATGCTTTGGTGAGTCTAAAATCATTAATTCTAATTAATAATAGTTGCTGTTCAAAATGTTGTTCTGGTGTGAATACGTATATTGCTTCGTCATGTTGGGGATGGTTTATATTTAAAATTTATTTGTTACAGCCAACCTCTGACTAGTTCCGTGCTCGAAACTTATCCGGGATCGACTTGAGTCATCACACAGAACACCTTTTTATTAAGGTATGGGATGGAAAGTGTAATTGCTAATATTTTCATTGTATAAAATGTGATTGTGAGGTGTTCACCAGTTGTATTTCCAGTGTGTAACTTTTAGTATGAATTTGCTTCCTAGGTCACTCTATACTTTTACATTTCATATTTATTTGAAACATTCCCATTCTTTCCTGAAAAATCTGGGTCTATTTTATTTGACAGGTGTTCCTCTTGCCCCATATTTTTGGTAGCCTGGTATTTCTGACCAACAATTCATAAATTGACTTTAAATTATAGATAGGTTCGTTCTCTTGGAAGCTTTACTCGAAACTAGAGCAAGTTCCAAAACACAAGAGCCGTGCAAAGATACAATTGTGACTCTTGCAATTTTCTTTGTAATTTCCGTATAAACATATCATGGAATGAGGTTTGAGACATATAAACTGAATTTTGATATGATTAAGAATTCTTATTTATTAAACCTCAGATTCAACCAATCCCCTTTTGAGTTAGTCTTTGCGAATTATTTGTTTGTTACACAACCGTGTTCAACAGTAAATACCGCGGGATAATACTCCTACTCCCTCCTGCTTGTGCTCCTTCATTCCATTAGTTCCAAATTTTAGGAGGAAGAAAGTGCGTTGTACAAACTATTTCAAAAAAAACACAATAGAAAAAATCCAAATAACCTTTCAGAGTAAAACTGTGTGACGTAATCTCTCTGATTTAGAATTTCTGATATTGATTTCCTTTTTTAATAATATTGAACAGGTGTGTGGGTGCGTGTGTGTGCACACACAAAATCCTCACAGTTGGCATTCGACATTGGCGCTCCTGGCTGGGCTCGGCCACACGCTGATTTTCCTTTCCCGATGGAAACTTCGACTTGCTCCAATTTCATGTAAGAATCTTGGTACATAGGGAGTGTTTCCCTTTGTTACGGTTAGTCCTCATAAGGTCGGTTCGGGTGTGCTTTGTTACAAACACACTCTCTCGTAGGAAATGTACAGGCTCCGTCGGAAACACACCGCATATTCCGACTCCACCGCATACGCAGATTCGTTTGATTTTGTGTAACGATATTGACATATTCGGTATGTGGAATTTGGGCGGTGATAGACGGTCCTCACAAGGCCGGTCCACGTACGTTTTGTTCCTCACACACGCTCTCGTAGCAAATGTACAGCCTCGCTTCGAAACACGGCGCTTATTCCGACCTGGTGGGAAACGCAGATTTACGTGAACCAGCGAGATGGAACACGCGGATATACACTGTATGTACCTCTTACCTGGTCGCTGTTGCGGTCGGTCCACACACATGGCCGGCCAGTAGTTGTGGCGTTTCTTGTGCAACACAGACACACATTCCTGTAAGAAAAAATGTACATGTGGAGGGAGGTCGCTCGAAGGCACGGACGGATAATTACATTTGGAAACGTGGGTTTGGGGTCCACAAAAGGCCGGTCGTGGCGACGACACTCTTTTAAGAAACGATAGACTCGCTATGAATAAACTGGAGGGGGCGGAGTCAAGGCCGCATAGCGTATTATCGGGCAAGAGGATCGATTTTCTTAAAACATAAAGCTAATAAATGTTACAATTTCCAAGTCTTGCAAACTCATGCAACCTAGGTATGGAACGTGTTTGATGTTATTAGACGCTGGATCTTGTTGAAAGATTTCACATTTGTACACTAGAAACCTTGTCCCAGATCTGTTACATTATTTATCAAGCCGGGTAGTAGGGACTAGGGTCTCCCATAATGCAGGTGCATGGCTCTTGCATCATGCTTGGATACAGGCTTTTATGCAAAATGTTACTTTGCAAAACTGTATTTGTGTATTAGTGTATCTTGGAAACATGTTTTAATTCGAGAGTTACTATGGGGTACATGCTATGGTATCCGAAACACTGAGCAAGCTGACTCTATGCTTCTCGATTGGTAGTTAGTGCTTGTGGAAGTAAGGCCGATTGTTAATTTACTTTTGAACGCAAAAACGCACCTCGGAGGTGCCTTCTGGCGTCCAGTAGTTTATACAGTTGGTCCTCGTATGGCTGGTTTGGGTGTGTGTATGTTGTCCGCAAGTCACACTGGAGAATTTCTGTACACAGGCTTGTTCTAAAACCCATGGAATGAATATTCCGACCACATTGGAAACGCAGGTTTGCCCGGTGAAGAAAACGTCCCTTATTGGCAACTGCCCACAAAACTATGGGAAACATTCGTCCAGAAAAGAAACAATTGAAATTTACGCACACACTGAAACACTGACACGCGAAAGACGGAAACGCGAACTGCCATGAGGAAACTTACTATACTATCTTGTGAATTAGAGGGTCGGGATGAAATATATGGCAAAAGTGGAGCCAACCCGCTCGCCATTAAACATTACAAAACTTCCTTCCAACCATGCCACCGCGGAAACGTTGTTTTGCCCAATTTCTGTAAGTCCATGAGGCAAACCGGATATACATGACTTCTTTCATTGAGCCTACGTGTGGAGGCATGCACGATTTTCCAACCCAGGCTGGTACATAAATACTGTATTTCCCATACACTGCAATCGGCTTTGCAGCACTTTTGATATTAAATTTTAATTTTCCCAATCAACGGGGTCTCTCTCTTGAGTAAAAAATGTCAATCGATTTTCTGTTCTCAGCCAAGTTTCATTTATATGAAAGCATTTTAGCAACATCGTATAAAAGCAAACTATTATTAACCTAATCAATTATTAAAGACAACACTCTTATATAAACAAGTGTACCGGACAAATTTGATCTTCAAAGTACTGGATATATTTTTATTTTTGAAATAAATAAATTTGCCATATACATTGTACAACACGAACCAGAACAATTCTATCAGGAATGTAAACGCAGGAATACAACACTAAACATAAATGGAATTCTATTCACGTTTCTATTTTCACCCAAAATTTCACGGTCCAGTTATGTGAAAAGGTGTCATATGTATGAGCAGTACAGTTCTGAAAAAAGTACGAAGGCAGACTAATGTACATTTGATATTTTTACCAATTTCCCATTTCACAATACAAAGCCAACCATTCTAAAGTACTCGCTTCATGCTACAAAATTACCATTCAATGAATGCCAAAAGTGAATTCATTTCACTTTTGCCGACATAGATCAAGGTGCAGAAATACCCTTTCTCTCGTTATTAGGAATTTTTTTTGGGGGGGGGTGTCGACAAATCTTGACGTGACAGCTTAATATTAATAAATAGTTATCTTATTTACAAAAAGGGGACTGTCCACAGTAATTGTAATGAGCGACACATGGACAGAGCCCGACAGGCCGTCCTTTTTATTTAATGCATCTACAATGCACTCCCACTGTCCACAAAAAAGCAGTGTTCCAAACTTTGATCTCACAGTAGGGTTTAACATGTTAAACCCACATTACCCAAGTGAAAAGAAATTTAAAGGACCTGTGAGGCTTAGTTCTCCTGTAAACTTCATTCATGGAATACAAAAATCTACGCACCGAAGTCTGTGCAGAGAATACCAGTGTGTAGCACAAGATTTACCTACAGCAATTTCTTCTGCTGGGCTGAGCAGATGCGAAAGATTACAGCAGTGCTCTTGAAGCTACAAACTCCAATAGAAATGGACCTACACACTTTGAAGATATTTGAGGCGACTACCATAGACTTGCATGTCATTTCAAGCCATGGGTAAGAATTTGGGCCATGACCTATGTTGCCTGTTGGAGATATTTGAGGGCCACTACCATAGACTTGCATGTCATTTCAAGCCATGGGTAAGAATTTGGGCCATGACCTATGTTGCCTGTTGGAGATATTTGAGGGCCACTACCATAGACTTGCATGTCATTTCAAGCCATGGGTAAGAATTTGGGCCATGACCTATGTTGCCTGTTGATGAAGATATTTGAGGGCCACTACCATAGACTTGCATGTCATTTCAAGCCATGGGTAAGAATTTGGGCCATGACCTATGTTGCCTGCTGAAACTACTCTCAATCTTTCAAATAAACCTGATTACTGTTTCTTTTTGTTATGCCAGTTCAAAGGGATATCGTGTTTGGTGTGATGTATGAAATCTCCACTCAAAAAGCACCTGTGTAAATTTCACAAGCTGACAACCTGTGGAAGATTTGTCAGTAAATCCAATCCCATGCTCAAAGTTATGATTTTGGAGTTGTTACAAGAGAGGCTAGCATAAACGTCACTTTGCAACTGTAAGAGATATGTAGTGTTAAAACATTACTTGTCCTTAAATTTATGTCAAAAACAAAAGGTAGACTAAGCACCTGGCACTTGTGGGATACCTTCACCCTGCAAAGATTGCTAACCATTTCCTCTAACTAGACTGTAACATTTCTTACTGTGGAGCCACGGAGTGCCAGAGAGAGAGAGAGAAGAGGTGGTGCTTGCCTAAGAGGTGTCGGCCTACACAAGTCAATCACAATCATCCAAAAGATATCAAGACACTGCTCCAGTGAACGGCAAACCAGTCAATCTTCCATCCAATATTCCTTGTGACTTGTGACATGCAATTTGTGGTTGACTTGTGATGGCCGCAACAACATTAGACGGATCCTGTAGGCCCCGCCCACTATGCCACTGAGCAACTGACATGCTGCTTCACCATGCCCCAATGCATATTCCACCTGCGTTCATCACATGCACGAGCAGGCATGTCGGACATAAATCAAGGCCGTGATTGGTCAAAATTCCATGGGGCGGGGTTTAACGGATCAGTCTATCCAGTCTTTTCTGATCAAACTATTCACATCAGTCTATTCTGACACATAATCTCGGGACATCATCATTCTGCTGTCATAATGGCACTACTCAAGATTGCCCGGCATAAGGATCCTTCCTCCGCGAGATCCATTTAGCTGGCTGGCGAGATGAGTTCCTCCTCGGCCTCGATGACCGCATCCTCCCCTTCGCCCGTCTCCTCCTCGTCCTCATCTTCGTCATTGAATTGGTTGCTGGTGTCGTAGTTGATGGTGGTGCGTAACAGGTCCACCTCAATGGGGAAGATCTCGGCGTCCTTCATCTGCTGGTGGCAGTCTTGGAGGTAGTTGGCCATGGCAGAGACCAGTCTCTGGAGCTGGAAGACTATGTCTTGAACTGAAAAAGAAGACGACAATCATTATTTATTAAAGGGTTGCTGCAATGGAATTCTTTTAACACAAACCTCAAAAATGCACATCTATGTTTCACTTAACCACACTTTCAGTTTTGTGTCCCTATTTCAAAGTGCTTGTTGCTGCCTTTTTGGTTTTTATGCTAATGTTATTTCCATGTTTATGAGCAAATTGTGATATCATCCCAGGAAGACATTGATGTCTCATTGGTTTTTGCGCTAAAAATGTTTGCACGAAAAATCCTGCATTTCTAAAAGCTTTGCAGAACAAAATTCACTCTTGTTTGGTAATTTGTTGTGTAAGGACACAGCAATAAACAATCATCCCTCCTTCATAAGTGTTTTCAGTGAGGTAATTCTGGGTTCACAATTTGACCAGAAAAAAAATTAAGAACTGAACCATGCCAAACCTAGATGACATCACAGCAATAGTGCCCTCAGAAAGTGTAGATAATTGTATATGTTAACCACTCCCTGCCGGGGATTCCGGATCAGGACACGTATGCTTTATATGCGTGGCCGGGGTCTCCGAACTCGGACAAAGGGAACAGGGCCTTGTAACAAAAAACCGTACTCGGAACAAAACGCCAGGCCGCTGGGAATTACCTAAATTTTTTCACTCTCAAAAGTGGTGATAATCCAGCCTTGTTTTGAAACGGTATACCACGGTTTGGGGCATTTAGAGCGAGCAGATTACCACTGGGGACAAAAGCGCTCCATCACCACACAGCACCGCTGCATGCTGATCTGGCCCCTATTGAAAAGAGGTCAGCAGCACACTGAGCCAGGTTCTTGAACAAAAGAAAGTCATATAACACCGCACAATCTAGGCTCTTTTTACAAGGCTGCAGGCCTGGCTGAAATACTCGGGCGTCAATAGATTTTGTCTGTCAGGCTAGAGTGGACGCCAGACAGTCCTTCACGTGTTTATAAGTGTCCAGTTAATGAAGATAGGAATTTTTAAAGAATTTTGAAAACAGAAAAAAATGATAAATATCCCGCCCAGCATCATTCAACATTGATAACTGCCTCAGCAGGAAGTGGTAAAGAATGTGTACTACTTTTCAATGCATCTAACCCAAGAAGGATATTAATAGTTTTCACACACTGAAGAACAGCATAATGTTGCATAAAGACTGTGTTTGAGAGAAATTCATTGCAGCTACACTTCAACTCTCCCGTGGTTTAACAGCACAAACATGCACCAATGTCAACAGTCTCTGTTTTGCATGTGTTTTCTATATGGAACACAAATATGCACAACTTCAGTGCGTGCCTGTATACAGTTCTAGCTGTTTGCCAACACAAAATGACACAGGATCTTTGGTGCTGTCCTTATCACAACAGTTGGTTTACTGCAACATTACGCATATGAAACCACGAGGGACAGTTGTTGGACAGCACAATTTATAATATGATACTCCCTGTGAGGGATAGTTCGTGCAATGCACAGGATGACGGAGCTGTGCATTGCTGTACTGCTAACCAACTGACCTGCAGTTTGACTTTAGCATTGGAGGGTTAAACAGTAATTTTAACAGTAAATTTCCTTGAAATCTTGATGCCTCCAACGACCAAACACAAATCCGGAGGATTTTTTTTCACTATGGGTACTTTGTCGACTCTTGGTAAAATGGATCTGCTCAAACAGAAGACATGGGGCCATTTGCCCCCTCCCCCGAGTCTCAGGGATCAAAGGTTACTATCATGCCTCACCATGTTTTTGGTCTAGCAGCTCCAGCTTGACCATGACGTCAGACCTCAGCTTAGCAAACTTGGCTCGGGCCAACTGACGACACCTTAAAATTAACCTTTCAAAAAAATAGATAAAAAAATTTCAAACAAAACCTGATCATTGAAAACAAGCAATTATGAGGGTGAGCAGTGCTAATGTTATCTGGCTTTGACGATAATTATTTTGACTTGATTGACCCAAAACATCTGACATACTCGGCAGACGTGCTGGCAAACTGTTACCTGTACTCGTAATTGCCCGTTTCAACTCTGTAGAGTGGCTCCCCAAGGGTGGCGTAAGCATATTCTTCATCATCCATCTCTTTCACTTTCAAGCAATAGGACTGGAAGGGGAGCAACACACAATAACATTTACAGTACATAAAGCCACCGTTTCCAAGATGAAGAATTCAACCTTTACGTGGTTTACTAACAATCAACTTTGTGATAATCAAACTGTGTGTACTCACGATGTTTGAACATCCACACCAGAGTTTGATGTGTTTCTTTACTGTTTTTGGACTGCCCAACCTCAAATTCACTTTCATTTGTTGGAGTGCAATTTGGATAAACGGAAGGTGTTGAATTTTGTAGAAAACCCTCCAAACAAAGAGGACCTACATGTAGGTACAAACGGAGTTAAGTAACCTACATGCCGAATTGCCGATGGCAAAAGCCTCACCCGGTAAAGTACATAGACATCTGGCTTTTCCACATAACTCTACTCAAGGTCTTTGGCAGAAAACCTTCTAAATTCACCTATATCCAACACTCTGGACAGCTGCCCCAAGTGTGAAGCCTGCTCAATGCACACAAACCAAATAGCCATTAACAGACGGATGATTTTGGGGGTACGCTGTCAAGCTAAACAAACCTAAGGTGGAAAGCTTGTGGTAGCACCATGCAGGGATGCGATCTCTTAGCGAGTCTGTATGGTTCTGAAAAGAACCAAGAGGAACTCTATGTCGGCATCTCTTCAGTCTCCTGACGACGGACAGAGCATACTGTCCAAAACTTTAATAGAGTTCCTCACGGTTCTTTTCAGAACCATACAGACTCACAAAGAGATCGTATCCTTGCATGGTGCTACCGCAAGCTTTCCACCTTAGTTGTCTGTCACCATGAATAGCTTGAAATCTCATCTAAACAAACCTACCAAATACTCGAACTTGGCGTCTGCGTATTTCTTGATGGTGAGTCGTGTGTCTGGAATGGCTTTGGTGAGAAAAGTCCCCAAATCAGTCAGCATCTAGATTAGTGCAGGATACAAAATCATGATACAAGGATTCAAAAATTAGCTAAACCATGTAAACAAAATTTAAAAATGCCTTCACAAAAGTTATCTTCAAAAGTCTTCAGATTAACATTTACGAGTTACTTTGGCTAACATTGGGTTCAGAACTTCCTCCTTTACAGTGAAACACACATCACAGCTTGTCAGAGGAAGGCATTTCAAAAACCACAGAGCTAACTTCAGAGGTGGTTGATCACATTTGGTTTAAACCAACCCCCCCCCAATTCTCATTTGTAATCATTTGACAGCAACAGCGGCGGAACCATTTTCAAAGTGGGGGGCAGTTGTTGGACCATCAGGCATCAGCCACTAATAGGCTGATCCATTAAGCCCCACCCCATTATAGGACCCCCCCTACTTCCACCGCCTTGCTTGACAGTTTCTCTCCAGAGGAATGCTGTTTTAGGTCTAACTTACAGGCTTAACTGTCCTGAGCAGACGGATACCAAACTTCTCCATGTTCCTGTGAGCATCTGCAAACACAGTGAAGGCCTCGCTAGCCTTTGGTTGGGGCTCCCTGGCCCCAATGACACCAAAGGCCTCCCCAAAGGCTGAAAAGGGAGAGAAAGGTCGCAGTGATAGAAATTTTGAACTCAAGATGCATAAAAAAGCTCACATTTTAGCTTAGAATTACAACTGCTCGTCCTCTACATGTAGAAAATGCCATGTACTTCCAGAGATATGGAACTGCACATGCATACTGTCATTCGTCAACCTGCCTGAAATTCACTGCTACACGTAGCCTAAAAAAACAACTAATTTGAGATGACTTGAAAACTATAGTGGTTAATTTTGGGATGTTTGCGTTCCCCTAAGATCATCATGGGATCTCCACATACCTCTGTGCGATAAGGAGAGATCATAGAATGCCTTCAGCATCTTCTTTGCGTGCTCCATCAAACCCTTATACATTATGGCAGTGGCTTGAAGCTCATCTAGTTTCTTAATTAACACGTCTGAGGAAGGAAAACAGAACAAAAACGGAATGAGATACCACAGCGCGGTGCCATGAATTTAATGCCGAAAAAGCTGGCATTTTGTTCAACCATTTCATAGCAGGGGGGTCCTGCACCATACAGATCTCAGCCATGTAGTGAAAGATTTCCTGGCAACATGGAAAGTGCAGTGTGGTGACATTTGTGGTTCACACATAGGCAAAGTTTCAGCTCAATCACAAAAATCACAACTTTCCGTGCAGGATCAATGTAAACATAAGACTTTCTCAGGTCCATGTAATTTCCCATTTCACGAGAAGGATATGTCCAAATATTACAAAATTAGCATGTCTGCTCAAAGCTGCATTTTGACAATCTGAAACAAGGCTTGGCACAAAAGAGTACAAGAAAGATGATGATGGGAGAGAAAAACGCACAGGTAGCGTGTTCTTCCCTCGGACTTTAACCACTTCGTAAACACACATATAGGGATTTTCTGCACTCAAGACTCAGGTGGACGGCGTGGTGGTTCTGTGTGCAACAGTGCATGACATATGTTACTTGTCTGCATGCTTGAGTAATTCCTGTCAAGTCTCTACCCACACCGTAGAGACTTGTTCGGTAGACAGAAAAGGAGGTCACACGGAATGACTTCTGTCTTATGCATATCATGCTCAGAAAGGGTACAGTACGTAATTTATGCGTCCTGAGCATAATATGCATATAACGTATGTCGTTCTACGTGGCATCCTTCTCTGTCTACCGAACACACACACAGGCTCAAATTAGTCAAAGAAGGCGAGTGCACGTGGATTAGGTGTGCTACACATGGATTACGCATGTGATGTTGTATACACGTACATGTATGAATGTTGGGTGTATCAAATCTTGCTCCATGGCATTGTGTGGGAGTGTAAAAAATGAAATAACTAATTTTGGTCAAATGACCACTGAGAGCCAGTATTTGTGAAGTTCAAATTTGTAACAGACAACAGTTTGGTGGTGTTATCACAGCCTTAAACAGTCCAGGATCCTGTGGATTCTAATATGCATTTGCACACAGTCTAGGGAGTTAGGGTTAATGTTTCAACAAGCCGTCATTCCCACTGAAACTGGGGTTGCACCCGAATCTCTTGTGTAGAGCTAGGTCTAAGTCTTCGCTACATTGGAAATGTGAGGAGACGCGTAGAAAATAGACCTAGCCGTAGCTCTGGAAGCCT